CAAGGTAATGTTGGTCCATGTAACTGGCCACACCAAGGTAATGTTGGTCCATGTAACTGGCCACACCAAGGTAATGTTGGTACATGTAACTGGCCACTCCAAGGAAGTGTTGATACATGTAACTGACCACTCCAAGGAAGTGTTGGTACATGTAACTGCATGTTAACCCTAACCCCTACCCACTTCAAGGTAAAGTTGGTTGCTGACCACTCCAAGGTAATGTTGGTTACTGACCACTCCAAGTGGTAATGTTGGCAACTTACCACTTCAAGTGGTAATGTTGGCAACTGACCACTTCAAGGAATTGTTGGTAAATGACCACTCCAACGTAATGTTGGTAACTGGCCACTCGGAAGTATTGGTCCATGTAACTGACCACTCGAAGGAAGTGTTGGTACATGTAATTGGCCACTCCAAGGTAATGTTGGTACATGTAACTGACCACTCCAAGGAAGTGTTGATACATGTAACTGACCATTCAAAGGAAGTGTTGATACATGTAACTGGCCACTCCAAGGAAGTGTTGTTCCATGTAACTGACCACTCCAAGGTAATGTTGGTACATGTAACTGAACACTCCAAGGAAGTGTTGGTACATGTAACTGACCACTCCAAGAAAGTGTTGATACATGTAACTGACCACTCCAAGGAAATCTTGGTCCATGTAACTGGCCACTCCAAGGAAGTGTTGGTACATGTAACTGACCACTCCAAGGAAGTGTTGATACATGTAACTGACCATTCAAAGGAAGTGTTGATACATGTAACTGACCACTCCAAGGAAGTGTTGATACATATAACTGACCACTCCAAGAAAGTCTTGATACATGTAACTGACCGCTCCAAGGAAATGTTGGTCCATGTAACTGGCACCACCAAGGTAATGTTGGTCCATGTAACTGGCCACACCAAGATAATGTTGGTAGATGTAGCTGAACACTCCAAGGAAGTGTTCGTACATGTAACTGACAACTCCAAGGAAGTGTTGATAAATATAACTGACCACTCCAAGAAAGTCTTGATACATGTAACTGATCACTCCAAGGAAGTGTTGTTCCATGTAACTGACCACTCTAAGGAAGTGTTGGTACACGTAACTGACCACTCCAAGAAAGTCTTGATACATGTAACTGACGACTCCAAGGAAGTGTTGGTCCAAGTAACTGACCACTCAAAGGAAGTGTTGATACATGGAACTGACCACTCCAAGGGAGGGTTGGTACATGTAACTGGCTACAACAAGGTAATGTTGGTCCATGTAACTGGCCACACCAAGGTAATGTTGGTACACGTAACTGACCACTCCAAAGAAGTGTTGGTACATGTATCTGACCACTCCAAGGAAATGGTGGTCCATGTAACTGACCACTCTAAGGAAGTGTTGGTACATGAAACTGACCACTCCAAGGAAGTGTTGATACATATAACTGACCACTCCAAGGAAGTGTTGATACATTTAACTGGCCACTCCGAGGTTGTTTTGGATTGGATAGTATCGGTTTCAACCTTAGTTACTAGTCGGTTTTATAGGACGTACGTATGCTCGGTTTTCAATACCGGACGGCTACCATTTGACCACTTTCTAGTGCTGTCCACTCAATAATAAACTTGGTCGCCGGATTCAAGTAAAACTTCGTACTTTATTGATAAAATCTTCACAAACGTACGATCAACCTATGTACCTGAGCAAGACACATGTGGGAGATAGGTAAACCACTAAGTTGCTATGTAGGCAAAGATATTGCAAAAATCTTACATGACTTTTTATTTTCAAGACATTTGGTTGAGGTTTCAGGTGGGATCAAGTCCGATGAATACTCAGAAACTGCCTAACTGGTGTAATTTGTACGGGAAATCTTCGGGGAATTCGTTGGATAGGCATAAACCTAGCGCTAGTTGGTATTAGCATCAATCTTACTATATTTGGCAGTCTGTATTTCAGCAATTCTCCAGTCTCTTGAATAACAAAGCCATTATTACGAAAGGCGTGGACTCCAGTTCATAATTGTACTTCAGAAGGATTTGCAGTATTACAGACAGGATTATCCCGATCTCAAATTGAACCCGCTACAATTATTATTGTTTTAGTTTATTTAACTTTTTATCCAGTGTCGTTTAGGGGCTATGCATTATTTGTCTATGGTAGACTTCGTTTCAGTGATCGGTTATGGTTCAGATAAGTTCTTATTAAATACCTGATCGTGGAATATCGTTTTTGAAATAGTACATGAGATTTTGACAATGAATTTAGTGATTAGTTTGAAACTTTGATGACGTATGCTTTATAAATGTTCATTTATTCAATATCTCGAATCTTCCGTGACGTAAGTGGCTGAGGTGCCTGACTACCTATGATCACTGGCCCTCTAACACTGGGTCGCAGGTTCGAGACCTACATCGGGCAGTCGAAATTTGAGCAAATCTTCTACTTCTGATTCCTTTGTCTGCCACGTCCTAAGTAACGTTACATGTATAAGCCATATTCAGCCTGATTTCATCCGCTTTCACCAAAACATGTGTTGGGGTATTGGTGTTCTGCTGGTACGTATTGCACCATCGATGAGGGTGAGCTGATTTTTTAAATGTCTTTTGTAGTACTAGTATATATTTTCATATTTGCATTTAAATTATATTGTTTAAACATATCGCCGGCTAATAACCAGTAGTAAATGTTTTCCTGGTATATATATTGTGACCCAGAATCATGCTATGTTTATCTCTGTGTGACATAAATAGAATCTGACACTCGCATCCATGTCATGTTGAATGTACTAACCGAGTTCAATAATTCCATTTGACACGAGCATTTAGGTGTGTGTCACATCAAAGTATCTAACTGGTTTAATCAATTCAATATGACATGGACACGAATGTAACATTCAACTTATCACATGACATTCATAATTTGAAAAGTAATTCAAACACAATATATTTGTGTTATCAGTTGACTCTTTAAAGATAAAAACAAAGTACTCCGATCAAAGTATTGTCTTTCCGCGGAGTGCAAGGTCGTTCAAGATTATATGGGTTTTTTTCAAATATTCAACAGATTTTTTTATACAATGGAAATAATTATGACAAAAAATGACATTTCAAATTCATTGATAGTAAAAACATTAAACTTTATCGGTAAAAATCAGTTAATAAAGTTCACTATTTTGTAGTGACGTAGGAATATGTTTAAATGGTTTTGACCAATCACAGCACCTTAAGGTTTTATTACACGTGTGTAATACCATATTTCTGACATGACTAAAAATGGGTCAGTTATGTGATAAAAGTATGATATGTAATTGTTCATGTTTTGTGTCTTTCCAAGGGACATATTGACTTGATAATGTAACTAATTCCTTCGACAGCACTGTGTCTATTAAGTTACTAACAAATAGAACAGTGACACCTACTTATTTAAGGTAACTAAGAATGTCTTAAATATTGATATAAATACAAATAAGAATCATTTAACAAAATAAGATGGAACAGACAGATATACAAGTAATGTAACATATCGTTTGCTGATTTCCATATTCCATGTTTAAAAGCATTTGTCAAAACAGATGTCGTATAGATACAAATGAGAAACAGATGTCGTATAGATACAAATGAGAAACAGATGTCGTATAGATACAAATGAGAAACAGAAATCAATAACTAAATATGTTTCGTATATATATATTTTATTCAGATTATACAATCAATGTAAAAATACTATCGTTTGATTAAAACTCATCAAGCCATTAAAAACAACACACATATAACTATCAAACGTCATCTGTTTGTACGTTGTACGTCTGACAATGTTTCTGTTTGTACATTGTACGTACAATACTGAAGCCTGACAATGTTTCTGTTTGTACATTGTACGTACAATATTGAAGTCTGACAATGTTTCTGTTTGTACACTGTACGTACAATACTGAAGTCTGACAATGTTTCTGTTTGTATGTTCTACATACAATACTGAAGTCTGACAATGTTTCTGTTTGTACGTTGTACGTACAACACTGAAGTCTGACAATGTTTCTGTTTGTACACTGTACGTACAATACTGAAGTCTGACAATGTTTATGTTTGTACATTGTACGTATCATACTGAAGTCTGACAGTGTTTCTGTTTGTACATTGTACGTACAATACTGAAGACTGACAATGTTTCTGTTTGTACACTGTACGTACAATACTGAAGTCTGACAATGTTTCTGTTTTTACATTATATTGTACGTACACTACTAAAGTGTGACAATGTTTCACGGTGTACATTGTACGTACAATACTGAAGTCTGACAAGGGTTCTGTTTGTACGTTGTACGTACAATACTGAAGTCAGACAATGTTTCTGTTTGTACATTGTACGTACAATACTGAAGCCTGACAATGTTTCTGTTTGTACATTGTACGTATAATAATGAAGTCTGACAATGTTTCTGTTTGTACATTATGTTGTACGTATAATACTGAAGTCTGACAATGTTTCTGTTTGTATGTTCTACATACAATACTGAAGTCTGACAATGTTTCTGTTTGTATGTTCTACATACAATACTGAAGTCTGACAATGTTTCTGTTTGTATGTTCTACATACAATACTGAAGTCTGACAATGTTTCTGTTTGTACACTGTACGTACAATACTGAAGTCTGACAATGTTTCTGTTTGAACATTATATTGTACGTACAATACTGAAGTCTGACAATGTTTATGTTTGTACATTGTACGTATCATACTGAAGTCTGACAGTGTTTCTGTTTGTACATTGTACGTACAATACTGAAGACTGACAATGTTTCTGTTTGTACACTGTACGTACAATACTGAAGTCTGACAATGTTTGTTTGTACATTGTACGTATAATACTGAATTCTGACAATGTTTCTGTTTGTACGTTGTACGTACAACACTGAAGTCTGACAATGTTTCTGTTTGTACACTGTACGTACAATACTGAAGTCTGACATTGTTTCTGTTTGTATGTTGTACGTACAATACTGAAGTCCGACAATGTTTCTGTTTGTACATTATATTGTACCTATAATACTGAAGTCTGACAATGTTTCTGTTTGTATGTTGTACGTACAATACTGAAGTCTGACAATGTTTCTGTTTGTACGTTGTACGTATAATACTGAAGTCTGACAATGTTTCTGTTTGTATGTTGTACGTACAATACTGAAGTCTGACAATGTTTCTGTTTGTACATTATATTGTACGTACACTACTAAAGTGTGACAATGTTTCACGGTGTACATTGTACGTACAATACTGAAGTCTGACAATGTTTCTGTGTGTACACTGTAAGTACAATACTGAAGCCTGACAATGTTTCTGTTTGTACGTTGTACGTTGTTATCACAGAACAGTTCAATCGAGTTCTGTCTTTTAACTAAATAACACGTGATTAGTAGAGGGTTCATGGTATTTAAGAAAAAGACTCAAAAATTATATTATCATACAGTATTTATATTTCAGAAAAATTCATGCGACCCATCGCATACAAAAACAACGATTTTGCTACAGAGGAATAGAGGGGATCTAAGTGTTAATCTTACTTCGTCATTAGACCGAAAACATGCCCAGTATTTAATGTTTGAAATGAAACTAAAGTTAATAATGAAAAGTTTCTTCGTGTCTCAAATTTCTCTCGTTTTCTTCCAGCATCCCAATACTGTTTACCTCACTGCTGCTATTACTGCTGAAGTCGGACATCTTCGAAAGGTCAAGAGAAATATTTGTGTTAGTTTTGTTAACAACGGCATACAAAGGCGCTTCGTTGTTTACTTCAGTGTCATTTAGTGTTATTTCAGAAATAATTTTGTCTGGCTCAGAGTTATGTGTAAAATCTGTGACCTGCTGGTCGGTAAGGTCCGGTAAGTGTTCGGCCTCGCCGTGGTTGTACACAGGGTTTGTAACGCTAATGTAGCGGTCACTATACCTGTGAAGATCCTCCTTACTGTCGTACTTTGTATTTTCCACCATGCCGGTCGAATGTAGAAAAACACTGTGCTTAGGAAATGTGTGACCAAATCTAAATTTCTCCATATCCGGGTCCTTTGTTTGCTTCTTTTTCCTGATCAAAAATACGATACAAAAATCACCAGGATAGTGCTTATGTGAAGTGATGGTTTATAGAGGACGGAAAATACGGGTGGCGATTAATTAAAGACCGTAGTTAAGGTTACTGATAAATTCATGATTGTAGTTAATGTTAGTTATTAATTCATTATGGTAGTTAAGGTTAGTCATTAATTCATTATGGTAGTTAAGCTTAGTCATTAATTCATTATGTTAGTTAAGGTTAGTTATTAATTAATTATGGTAGTTAAAGTTAGTTAATAATTCATTATGCTAATTAAAGTTAGTGATTAATTCATGATGGTAGTTAAGGTTAGTCATTAATTCATTATGTTAGTTAAGGTTAGTTATTAATTAATTATGGTAGTTAAAGCTAGTTAATAATTCATTATGCTAATTAAAGTTAGTGATTAATTCATGATAGTAGTTAAAGTTAGTGATTAATTCATGATGGTAGTTAAGGTTAGTTATCAATTCATGATGGTAGTTAAGGTTAGTTATTAATTCATTATAGTAGTTACGATAAGTCATTAATTTATTATGATAGCAACGTTTAGTGATTCATTCATGATGGTATTTACCTTGTTGATTCATTAATGATGGAAGTTGAGGTAAGTGAGTAGTCAACGATAGTAGTTACGGTTAGCGAGTAGTCAACGATAGTAGTTACGGTTAGTGAGTAGTCAACGATAGTAGTTACGGTTAGCGAGAGATACAGGTTGGTGATTAAGGAATACAGCACGCACTATTTTTGAAGTCCTACTCATGATATGGTAATATGTTGATATGATTATGTAAATCCATTAATTTCTGGGTTACGTCATAAGTCAGTGACTTGAGACATTTAGGTGATAACTGTATACTTACGTCCTGACCAGCTGTGTGACCACCACCAGTAACAGGAGGAGGAGGAAGAACCCGACAACCACAGGGATGATTATCATAACTGGTGAAGAAATAGAAAATAATCTCAATCATCCACAAGCACTTTGGGATTGAAATTCAGCACAGGGATGTTTTTCTATTATGATATAAAACATAACAAATGTATTTGATTGCTCAAAGTAAGAGTAGCGTCGAGGAATATAAACATACGATTGTCGTTGCCGCTGTTCTCTCCCTGACCTCCTTCATTTGTACCGGCCCCAGCAGTCGTGGTAGTCGTGGTAGATATAGCGGTCGAGGATGACAACAATGGCGATGTTGTTGGCGATGAAGATTGAACTGTAGTTACCAACGGTTGTGTTGTTGTTGGTGGTTTTGTTGTAGTGGTTGTTGGTGGTTTTGTTGTAGTGGTTGTTGGTGGTTTTGTTGTTTTTGTTACTTGTTTTGTTGTTGTGGTCGCTGTTTTTGCTGTAGTTGTAATAGGTTGTGACGCAACAGCAAGTGTTGTTGTAACAGTGGTAGAAGTAGGTGTTGTAGTAGTGATTAGTGATGTAGAAGTGGGTGTTGTGGTTGTTGGTTTTGTTGTTGTTGGTTCTGTTGTTGTTGTGGTTGTTGGTTCTGTTGTTGTTGGTGGTAGTGGTGTTGTGGTTGTTGTGGTCATTGGGTTTGTTGTTGTTTTTGTCGTTGTTGTAGGCGGAGATCCCACGGCCTCACAGTTTATGTCCATTATAAACGATGGAGCTGAATCCAAAAGAACATTTCTATAAAGTTATTTATTAACAACAACTAGTTGTTTATAGTGACAAACGTTACAGCTGGGTTTACAATCAATGGCACTGATACAACTTTAATTGTTTATTAAATTCCTGATGATTTATTAAAATTAATTACATACAGATCAAATGAGCATCATACTTTTGACCAGTTTCGCAAACATCATACAACCTGTCTCTACCTTCAACTTATCTGATAGACCGAATGTGTCAGCCTCTAAAAACTCATATTTTAAAAATATTTTAACATTTTGGCAACAACAACAAAATATAAAAAAATAATATTTAAAATGTAAGAATTTGTATCCGAAAATGGTATCTAACTGACCTGTACTCATTAGCATACAGTACCGAGCATCGCCATTTTGTTCTTTGAACAGTGTCACTGCTGCGTTTTCCCCAGCCTTCATAGCAATAGATCCAAACACTCGACATTCCATGACCTGTGACCCTGATCGGCTGGAATTGACCTCGATCCTAGACCCACACCCCGAATTGATGTCGATACCCAAACCTTGGTATGCAGACATTGACAGTGTAAAGTCTGTTGTCGACGGAATCGTGATCGAGCAGGAACAGCTGTCCACTACTAAATTGTTGCTCTCATAAAAGTCGAACACAACACCACTTCCGGTCACGTGAGATGCCGTAGGTTGGCATGGAGACACAACTAAAAATAACCCAGATTATATGAATTATTTCAGGTAATAATTATAGTCACTATAAATTATATGACTTCAATTGGGTGAATGATAACCAGAATAGTTCAGGAATTTCGATTGGTTTGACTTGATCCCCGGGGTATAGATGATATAAGTTCCCGGGGGTACAGATAATAAATACGTACCCGGGGGTACAGAATATATACGTTCCCGGGGTTACAGCTAATAAATACGTACCCGGGGGTACAAATAAAATAGGTTCCCAGGGGTACAGATATTATACGTACATGGGGTGCACAGATTGTATACGTCCCTGGGTGTACAAATTGTACAGATAATAAATACGAACCCGGGGTTACAGATGTTATACGTTCCTGGGGGTACAGATTTTACAGATAATATAGACGTACCCGAGGGTACAGATAATATATGTTCCCGGGGGTACAGATAGTATGCGTACCTGGAACTTCCAGTATCCTTGCAAGATCCGTACATTCTGAACACACAACGCCTGGAAATAGAAAAAAATACATATACATTGTATTTCCCCCAAAAAACGTTGCATGTAACTTTTAAAAATTGATTTTCTTTTCGTTAAATAGAACGTTATAACTGTTGGTCAGTACACATTGGAAAGGCATTAGGCTCGCATCGATATACACGCCGTACCGTACAAGTAATGAAAGCTGATGTATAATTTAGCCCAGAAACCTGGCTTTGCCTTGTAGTCCTGTCAGCAAACAAGGAGGGTACAATGTACGAGGTTATGTAAACTACAGTGAGTAAAGGAGATCGATAAAACGTTATTAAAACTTTACATTATTAAACACATTTGATGAGAAAAATAAACCTTTTAACGAAGTCAGCAATCGCGTTGTATGGATAAAACGGACATTACTTCAAGACCTTATATTTACATTTGCATGACATTGTCACTATATAGCCTCTTTGAAAGCTGTGTCGTTGATGGGACTTTAATTCCCATGCAGCACGAGACACAATTCTTAGCGTATTAATACAACACTGACCGGAACAACAATATCCAATATCCAATTTTAACACTCATGCAATTTATCAGAAATATCGTCTGTTACACTGCACTGATCAACAGGGGTTCGTTACAAATGTCTGAAATACACATATTCTATAGACCTAGCTACCTGACATATATGTTACAGACCTACTGATATGAGTCACGGCACACATAAACATTTCAGGCATTTGTAACGAACCCCTGTGCTCCGTCGCAAGATCAATCACTTCAAACGATATCAGTTTCAGGCGTCTCGCAGCCACGGTTTCCCCAGCTTTTGATCACGACATGCCAAATAATGAGGCTGTTATAGAATTTACCGATTGTAGTCAGATTCACATACAATCAACAAATAAATTCACGTCTCGATTCTTCATAAAAAGAGCAAAGAGAAACTTTCGAATTAACTTCTAAAAATAATTCCCTCGTAATGGTCAAGGTCGGTGTTCACTGTATTTATCCATGCGCGAAATTTGTTCCGGGGGAAAATCGAAATAATTTAAAACTAACTTTCAGCTCAGGTTTCTATTGATAAACTAAAATCCCCCTATAGACATATCATAAGCAATTGTATTGATACTGATTTGTGGAATAAAATTGAAGTGTTTGTAAAAATTTCAAAGTACTACTTTGTTTGCCACTCAGCACTCGACAGTACGCTGTTCAAATTATTGAACGAAATTGTGTGGTCTGTCGATAAGGCGGGCATTTTTAATTTAAATTATAAATTATAAGTTAAAAAAAACACCATAAGAGGCAGAGAAAACGTAAATATAAGTATTGCGGATAACGTGTAGAAATATTGCGCAAGTTTAAGCTATTGGCATCATTTCTATCGTTAGCTTTTGAAGCTTACGTACCAAGGATCTTCATTGGACATTTGGGAAGGGAATATTTACAACATCATACCGGAATTAGGTGATAAAAACGTAAGAGATAATTAGGGTAATCTTTCGTCACGGGTCGGAATGGCTTTAGGATAACTTTACCTTATGCTACAATCAATCTTAGGTACACAAAAGGAAACGTTTAATATTTGCAATGTTCTGAAACTTCATATAAAAAAATCAAGCAAGGAGATCGGAACAGCCTGTTAAAATGAACTCTTTAAAGAAAGATAAATACAATATGTGACTGTGTCAGTCAAGCGGCCCTCCGCGTCTTTTGTGTAAATCTACGTACGTGTACACTGGTTTATTTCTCCTATTTCAGAAAAAAAATGTTTGAGATTACGAAATAACTAGAAAGCATGACATTGCTGGACTGACACTTAAGCAACAAACCCCAACATGTTCGATTACAAACCTTTCGAACTAGTTTGTGTTTTTGTAACTATTACGAAGTTGTTCAATGTAGATACTTTTCTGATTCTACACACTTGTGAAATTATCTGTCAGACATAGGGGTAGTTCATGACATGCTAAATTTAGTGTTCATGTCACAACCACAATGATGTTACACAGGTCGACAGAAAACTCGTCTGAAACAGTGGTGCACACGGCATGTGAGAGATGTAAAGGAGGCATTCAAGTTGTAGAATGTACAGCTTTGTTGAGTAAACAAAGGGAAAGACGCTCCAGGAAAATACCCAAAGTGGCTTCATGTACAACAAACTTTCGCATGTTTCAATGAATTTCCCCACTTCCTGAATGGACAAAAATAGTTTTTGTAAGCGTGTCAAAAGTCAGCGAGATAAACTCATACGACACACTGTTCGTACTTAGTCGGCCATGCATTTGCTAATAAATAACAAGAAAGTTATTAAAATTGTTCTTTAAGACTCGGAAAATTAAATCGGGACATATCAGTAGATGGGTATCTCTCGAAATCATGTATGTGACAAAGATGACTCAACATTATTATCAATTATATTTGTTCATTATTAAATTTGGCCTCACACCCTTTCTATCACGTGCCGGATATTACATCGTGAGGTCACGTGCATGTGGCGTGTGATACGCCGATCTGGTCACGGGGCGTTCATTGGAAGATACAATGTGAACATCCGGGTAACGTCACTCAATGATAAAGTGTTATTAGACTTTTACAGCAATTAAATAATTCATGGCCATGCCTTTATGACTTTATACATCAGGTACATGACGCATGACTCGGAGAAACACACGAATTCTATAGTGTATGTGTGAGTACCCTGTAATTACAGGTATGGAGGCCGACACCTTGTCCCGTTACAAGTCTATTGGCCCGAGTATCTCGTCCATGTGGGCCTTACTACCCATAACGGTACTTAACATTTGTGCATACAACAGGTCTTGTCCATATTATTTGTGCATTTCTTGGTGAATAGTGTATGCTTACAAACGTAGAATCAGTGTTCCCATATACAAAAGGCGTTGGCAGAACATGTTTTGTACTCGAGTTTTAATTAAGATTCAAACCAAATTATGAAATCTAAATTGATCTACATGCTGTATTCGTAGATCAAATCACCTGCTGGTTTATTGACTTGGTTTCACTTTACAATTCAGTTGAACCTTTTCCTATATTTACATGTTGACATATCGTATTAGATACTGCATCGTAAAACAAGTTTGTTATAATGACGTACCGTAACGTCAAACTTATTTCTGGATTATATTTCGTTAATACGACATTTTTTTTTTGTATAACATGTTTCAAAAATTGCTTAAAAAAATATATCAATAGGTTTATACATCTATTTAAGTATATAGGAGTAGTATTTTGTGAACCGCTTTGAGACGACCTACGAACTAGGTTGTGATAAAGCGGTTTATAAGAACCTCCAATTATTATTATTATTATTATTATCGACCAGGGAACAATTTATGTAAAGGTTTCCACGTAGCTCGCAAATTAATCATGCATACAGATTACAACATATGGGTCTGTATACGACCTGAAAGTTTACACATCCAACACACGAGTGCGTGAATGTGTATTTCGTGAGAGGACGACAGGTGTTTAGACGAAAAATCAGCAAAAGTTTCTATATAATACTTAGTTGTAAGATCCCTCATCCACCAGAACGTCTGCTAGAAATACCTATCTATACTAGTACTCTCTCAGGTACAACCGTGTGTAACCCAACACTAGACCGTCACTGTTTGTCTATATATCCTCAGTATTCCGTATTTACCCCATAGTAAAACCTTACGACACTTTCACGTTTATAGAGAAACATGGTGCTTACAAACGATCTTATTGATGTTATTCTGTCATTAGTTGAAAAGCTTTTTGAAATAATTACAAACAAACAGGAAAGCATTCCAGTTTAAATAGGTTCTACCTGCCGGAATAAAACAATCTGACTACACTTCTGTTTGTTTTACATGTGAGACCCTAACCAGTCTTACCTTTAATATACAGGTGTAAAACACAGAAAAGTAAAGAATATGTCCAAACAGAAATTATCCCTTGGACAGCCATATTGTGAAATTACTCCAGAGGAAGGTCCTGAACGGTCCCGAGTACATTAATATCCAAACTGTAAGAGCGTTCTCTTCTTCGTTTAAATCTAACATTCATTTCAGGGCGTGTTATCGTACAGTCATGTCGTGTTGGCCCTCCTTTAAACAGTTCAAAATTCGTACACGAGTTCCGTTATGTCCGCTAATATTGACACTCATTGATTAATCAGTCGTCACGCTTCACCGAAGGTCCACCCATGTATCTGGTATTGCTACGCGCATGTCTTTGCCAGAAAGAAAACTCGTTTCTTTCGCAATTACAAACATTACATGAATAATTTAAATGACAATTGGCCTTTTACTTCTTGGTGATAGCTAGTTGAGCTATAACTGACATCAATATATGTTTACCAGGTTAGACAAATACTTTGAAATCATGTAGCATTCCGAACCGGACCGCCCAGGCCACTGTACGTCAGGATGTGGATTCTGGCTGGGTACAGGTCAATAACACAGGGCCATGGTTGTGTTATGTATGGGTCAGGAGTATACGTAGCGGCCAAGTTCATAGCATTTCTAGGACATTTTCTGGACTTTCTTTGTTTATTTCCCGGTCTTATTCGCTTCAATTTTAACTTGTGTTACAGGTAGACACAACCCCAGATTTTGTCGCCATTGTTATGTAAATATTAGCACACCCAGAATAAACCTCTTTTGCTATTTTTATATTTGGAATGCACACTCTTGCTCTTTGTTATGATGTACCGACATTTAAACTTCCGTGTTCACGTTAAACACGGCATTGTATAGCCTACACCGTCGATATTCTGTTGAACGTCTCTAGGTATCCGTCAGAATCAGATTACCTTAAACGGGTCGTACAGAAAATGGCCCAAAGTCTTAGATGGAATATATTACTTGTAAGCTAAGTTAAGGAGTTTTTCAAAACCTTATCATTTTGCACTAAAATATATGTATAATGTTCAGTTTAAGATCAGTGTTTGTTAAATGGCCAATGTGTGTGGCTCAGTCGATACAGGCTGTAATGGTTATAGACTGTATGTCTACAAATATCATAGCAGGTTCTTTTATAAAAAAAAGTCGAGGTTAGTGTCTGTAATATTATTATTATTATTTCCTTTATTTCCTCCAGAAATGAAGAGTTACAGAAATAACGAACAAAACACTATTGAAAAGAGAAGAAAATACATTCATAATCATGGTCACACCCTGACATAGTGACTCACACATGCACATGGACAGACACACACATAAGAGAATAATAATAGTACACGCATCATACCATAAAGTACTAGAAACACAACACAATGATATAATAGGTACTATTACAGTCATTATACTGTGATAATTATGATGATAGACAGTATAACACTAATCATACATTACATCACACATTGATATAATAGACATATTTACACTCCTCAAACTACATTATCATATAATAGTATAGACGGGGGTACTCTTTTCGTACTAAGCAATCAAACACCATTGTAATAAACAGTATTACAAGCATAACACTATAAATTATACAGCATTATTATAGACAGTATTACTGTTACATAAGTCTTACAATACAATCATACATTGAGTAGAACGCGTTGCACGAAGTCATACAATATAGTCATACAGTGGTGTGAAATACACAACATACAGTATCATAATTAACTTGAAGAAACAGCGCAACCATGCAATGATTTCAGTTGTAGGAATACATCTCACAAGATTAATTCATACAATTCAAACAATATTATGAATGGTAGTAAGTTGCACTATTCAACAGGAAAGACGTAGACTAATATGAATACAAAAATATATGTATTTCATGTATTCATCTTTCTGAAGCGTGAGGTACACACAAGTAAATAATGTACTGTGTGTTATAAGTCATGGCCAGTGTCTGTATAATGTACTCTGTGTTATAAGTCATGGTTAGTGTCTGTATGATGTACTGTGTGTTATAAGTCATGGTTAGTGTCTGTATAATGTACTGTGTGTTATAAGTCATGGTCAGTGTCTGTATGATGTACTCTGTGTTATAAGTCATGGTCAGTGTCTGTATAATGTACAGTGTGTTATAAGTCATGGCCAGTGTCTGTATGATGTACTGTGTGTTATAAGTCATGGCCAGTGTCTGTATGATGTACAGTGTGTTATAAGTCATGGTTAGTGTCTGTATGATGTACTGTGTGTTATAAGTCATGGTCAGTGTCTGTATAATATACTGTATGTTTTGCATCGTGGTCAGTGTCGGTATAATATACTGTGTGTTTTGCATCGTGGTCAGTGTCTGTATAATATACTGTGTGTTTGAAGTCGTGGTTAGTGTCTGTATAATATACTGTGTGTATTAAGTCGTGGTTAGTGTCTGTATAATATACTGTGTGTTTTAAGTCGTGGTCAGTGTCTGTATAATATACTGTGTGTTTTAAGTCGTGGTTAGTGTCTGTATAATATACTGTGTGTTTTGCATCGTGGTCAGTGTCTGTATAATATACTGTGTGTTTTAAGTCGTGGTTAGTGTCTGTATAATATACTGTGTGTTTTGCATCGTGGTCAGTGTCTGTATAATATACTGTGTGTTTTAAGTCGTGGTTAGTGTCTGTATAATATACTGTGTGTTTTAAGTCGTAGTCAGTGTCTGTATGATATACTGTGTGTATTAAGTCGTGGTAAGTGTCTGTATAATGTACTTTGTGTTTTAAGTCATGGCCAGTGTCTGTATAATATACTGTGTGTTTTAAGTCGTGGTTAGTGTCTGTATAATGTACTGTGTGTTATAAGTCATGGTTAGTGTCTGTATGATGTACTCTGTGTTATAAGTCATGGTCAGTGTCTGTATAATGTACAGTGTGTTATAAGTCATGGCCTGTGTCTGTATGATGTACTGTGTGTTATAAGTCATGACCAGTGTCTGTATGATGTACAGTGTGTTATAAGTCATGGTTAGTGTCTGTATGATGTACTGTGTGTTTTAAGTCGTGGTTAGTGTCTGTATAATATACTGTGTGTTTTGCATCGTGGTCAGTGTCTGTATAATATACTGTGTGTTTTAAGTCGTGGTTAGTGTCTGTATAATATACTGTGTGTTTTAAGTCGTAGTCAGTGTCTGTATGATATACTGTGTGTATTAAGTCGTGGTAAGTGTCTGTATAATGTACTTTGTGTTTTAAGTCATGGCCAGTGTCTGTATAATATACTGTGTGTTTTAAGTCGTAGTCAGTGTCTGTGTGATATACTGTGTGTATTAAGTCGTGGTAAGTGTCTGTATAATGTACTTTGTGTTTTAAGTCATGGCCAGTGTCTGTATAATATACTGTGTGTTTTGCATCGTGGTCAGTGTCTGTATAATGTACTGTGTGTATTAAGTCGTGGTTAGTGTCTGTATAATGTACTGTGTGTATTAAGTCGTGGTCAGTGTCTGTATAATATACTGTGTGTATTAAGTCGTGGTAAGTGTCTGTATAATGTACTTTGTGTTTTAAGTCATGGCCAGTGTCTGTATAATATACTGTGTGTATTAAGTCGTGGTTAGTGTCTGTATAATATACTGTGTGTATTAAGTCGTGGTTAGTGTCTGTATAATGTACTGTGTGTTTAGTTGTCTTTGTAACACGGTCGGACTATGTTGATACCACATATTGACCCCGGTATTATAACTACACATATACATACGTTACTATAAATGTGGAGATATTACCATACAGCTGTCAGACACCGTGGATGTGATTTACATGCATGTGTTATTATACAGTTAAAGTATAGGGTTGAGGGATATAGCAAGTTTCTGGTGTCCCGAGACCAGGTCTATTTCCCGAGGCGAAGCCGAGGGAAATAGGCATGGTCAAGGGACACCAGAAACTTGCTAACATCCATCAACCCCATACTTTAACCGTTTTATCATACCGATCAAAGGCGGTCAAAGATGTTGCCCTTCGCCTGAATGAACATTTGGAGTGTATTTTTTTTACAATAGCATAAATAAACCTTTATTTGATAGCTACATGTAATAAACAGCAGGAAGACGATCTGTCGAGTAATTGATTAAATACTTCTGTGTCTGACAAGCTGTACCGAAGGTAAAATGAAATTTAAACATATAATATTGTATTTTGATATGGACATAGAGGCCTAAAGCCTGCGTTCTTTACGTATCGCAATAAATCGTCATAAATACATCTTAAAGTGGTAGAAAAGAAAATTAACATATTTAATATGTACTGTGAACGAATATGTATCTCAAAATTCGAAGGTATAAAAAAAACACTTGAATTTGATAACTATTCTTCCCGTGGGTATTGTCATCTACGCACATACCAGACAGTCTCTAGTATAACTCTAGTCTACAGACATAACCAAGAGGTGTGGGGCCAGTCTACAGTCTACTCACAATCCAAATACAAATTAATGGTTTTGGATTATCTCAGAATGAATAATTTTATACCGTTCTAGAAAAGGGAGAAGAAACATATACATGGTGATAACAAGGGCGCTATGGTCGGTGGTTAAAACGCTTGACATGCATTCATATACGATCTACTCACATTATAAATACAAATTGATACTTTTGGATTATCTCAGAAATTATAACTGCATACCTTTCTAGAACAGGAGTAAGACTTTTAGATACTGGTACATAGTGATAACAAGGGCGCTATGGTCGCCGGTTAAAATGCTTGACATGCATTCATATATAGTTTTTTGAGGGACATATGTATCGTCTTTCATAAATGAAGGAGACTTCGCATATATACAATGTTGTTAGTATTATCCCATGCAGCTGGCAATACGCTGTGGGATTTAGAGGTTATCTACAAAAGTTGTCGCTCGAGTTAGCTCCCTTGAAACTCCGGTCTTTTTTCCTACGGTACAATAAGAGAATGATATCCCCTCTCTGATACGTCAAGGTTTAATCGTTTATAGATAATTAATTTTACACAATTTCAGCATTTATAAAATTGATATACATTAATGCAATACTAATCTATGTCAATATTATTTTCAATATTATTTTTATTGACATTATTTTGCAAAAATAATGTGTTTCGTTTTATTTTCAAAATTCACTCCTTTTTACATACATTTCAATTTTAAATCCTTCAAATTCTGACTACCTATATTTGTTTGGTGGCATTCAAAGCAATATAACTACAAAATGTGAAGAAATTCTACTAAGAAATGGCAACACAATCCTCTTACCTTAAAGGAAACAAACTGAAACCAATGGTATCTCTGACTGAAAAGTTTAGATGTCTCACTGACCACGATAGACGCCTCTGACTGAAAACGTTAGATGTCTCACTGACCACGATAGACGCCTCTGACTGAATAAGTTAGATGTCTCACTGACCACGATAGACGTCTCTGACTGAAAAAGTTAGATGTCTCACTGACCACGATAGACGTCTCTGACTGAAAAATTTAGATGTCTCACTGACCACGATAGACGCCTCTGACTGA